AAAAAAAAAAAAAAAATAGAAAAGGAAAAAAAGATAAAAAAAAAAGAAAATGAATTCCATTAGAAGTCATTAAAACAAGGCTTGATTTGTTAATTCATTTTGCTTATTTGAATATTTTAATTAGATCTGCATGTTTTCCCAAAACAGAACTTGTTACCTCCAGCTACAGCACAGATCAATTTGTGCTTTCTTCTTTCATCTGTGGCTCAAAATCCATCCCTTCTAGAAAGTTCTCCCTTATATTAACTTCATTCTATGAAGTTAATTTGATTTCTCCATTACTCTAACTCCCATTAATTATCTAATATTTTAATTGCACTATTATTTTATTTTGCATTGCGAAATAGATATCTAAAAAGTATTTAAGAGGGCATGATTAACAATGCTGAACAGTGCTAGAGAAATGATAAAACCATGTAGCTTATGGCCACTGCAAATTTGTGGTCTCCAGTCTCAGCCTGATTCTCCACATTGCTCTCTAATCTTTCTATCTATTCATGCTCAGTATCCTAGGCTTCAATGCAGCAGTTCTTTCAAACCGTTGTCACTCTCTTGTTTTTTTTGACTCACTCTGTCACTCTCTTTTTTGAGTCTCACTCTGTAGCCCAGGCTAGAGTGCAGTGGCTCGATCTCAGCTCAATGCAACCTCCACCACCTCCCAGGTCCTGGTTCAAGCAATTCTGCCTCAGTCTCCCAAATAGCTGGGATTACCAGCATGCGCCACCATGCCCAGCTAATTTTTGTATTTTTAGTAAAGACAGGGTTTCACCATGTTGGTCAGGCTGGTCTTGAACTCCTGACCTCATGATCTGCCTCCCAAAGTGCTGGGATTACAGGTGTGAACCACTGTGTCTGGCCGCCACTCACTTTTAAGTGTTACCCTATCACTTCCTCCCCTATAATTTTCAACTGTAATTTCTTTTTTTTTTTTGAGACAGAGTTTTGCTCTTGTCACCCAGGCTGGAGTGCAGTGGTGCGATCTCGGCTCACCGAAACCTCTGCCACCTGGGTTTCAAGTGATTCTCCTGCCTCAGCCTCCTGAGTAGCTGGGATTACAGGCATGCACCACCACGCCCACCTAATTTTGTATTTTTAGTATAGATGGGGTTTCTCCATGTTAGTCAGGCTGGTCTTGAACTCCCGACCTCAGGTGATCTGCCCCCCTTTGCCTCCCAAAGTGCTGGGATTACAGGCATGAGCCACCACGCCCAGCCTCCCCTATTTTTCTGATGCCTAATGACTTTAACTAACAAGGATGGCACACCTTCTTGAAAAGTAATTTTGAAATCTCTGAGAGTAGATTAAATCTTGGAGACAAACAATGACGTGTATTTGGTAAAAAGGTAGAAAGGCAGAAATAAAAATGAGGACAATTTTCTTCTACAGAGTAAAACACTTCATCAGTAGATAAGACTGCAGATTATATAAAGGTGTTTTACTGATTACTAATGCACAGATTAAAATGTTAAGCCATTTTAATTTTTTAAAAATTTGCCAATTATCATACTTAATTAAAAAAAATCAGGATAGAAACCTGATTTATTATGGATTGTTTAACTTATTTTGAAGTAACATAGAAAGAAAATTAGTTACCTAATCAAGTAGCAACAGAAGAGTAAACTAAGGATGAAGACAAATATAGCAGTACCAAAAACCACAATATATATGTTGAGAGGCAGATTCTGAAATCCAATATTAGGCATCCTGAAGTTGTAATGTGGAAAATCTGAGCTCATGGATGAACTGTGGGGGAAGAACAGAATGAAAAAAAATTAGGTAAAGATTAAGAACCAAGATAGCATTATCATTGTGCATGTATGGAGGCACAACGACCCCATCTGAAAAAAATATGGTAGATAAAGTGTTAATATTTTTGCCATTCATCCATTCATTCATTCACCATGCCAAATATTTACTGAGTATTATGTACCTGGCACTATTTCAGAGACTAGAGATCCTACATAAAAAGCTTCGCAAGGTGCATTTATTCACTAAAAGGCATTTCACTGAAATAATGCCAATAATTAATAAACATAAAAATGTTCAACCTCAGAGAAGTGCAAAAAAAAAGAAGTTTTAAGATTCTACAAACCCTTTAGCCTTTAACCTAATAACTCAAACCTTGAAGTAGCAATATTTATAATGGTAAAATACTAGAAATAACTTAGATATCTCACAAAGGACATAATAAATAATTATATGGTTATATATTACAGTATTAAAGGGTCATGAAAACATTTTCAAGTAATTTTTTTTTTCTTTTGAGACAGGGTCTCACTCTGTCACACCAGGCTGAAGTGCAATGGTGTGATCTCAGCTCACTGCAGCCTTAATCTCCTGGGCTCAAGCGATTTTCCTGCTTCAACCTCCCAAATAGCTAGGGCTACAGATGTGTGCCTAGCTAATTCAAAAAAATGTTTTCGTAGAGATAGGATCTCAGCATGTTGCCCAGGCTGGCCTTGAATTTGTGGGCTCAAGGAATTGTCCCCACGTGGCCTCCCAAAGGGATTACAGGCATGACCCATCGTGCCTGGAATCAAATAAATTTTAATGTCAAGAGAGAGACTGGCGAAACCCATTCTCTAAAAAAATACAAAAAAATTAGCCAGGCGTGATGCAGCATGCCTGTAATCCCAGCTACTAGGGAGGTTGAGGCACAAGAATCACTTGAACCTGGAAGGTGGAGGTTGCAGTGAGCTGAGATTGTGCCACTGTGCTCCAGCCTGGGCAACACAGCAAAAAA